AAGGTTACAGATATTCTTTAGAGATTGTAAATGTGTATTGTTAAGTACTTAAGAGGCCTCGCTGTAAGGCCTGAGCCAAGGAGGAGGGGTTAATTTGAAACCTTACTCTTTACTCTATCGCATGACAGGACTGTATATCCTTTGTTTAGCAGTAGGCTCTATTATGAGTGAAATTTTATTTAAAACAGACCCATATGTTATCATTGTTCAACTATTAAATGTTTCTTCTTCTCCTCAGTCTCCCTGTTCTTCCTCGCCATGCAAAAATGAAGGGACCTGTGTACCAAGTTACATAAATGGCATCTATGAATGCCTCTGCAAGAAAGGCTTCACTGGAGAATTCTGCGAGAAAGGTTAGATGTTACTTGCAATTGCCAGGTTAGATTAGCATTTATTTGCATAAAATTTGGCCCTCTATCCAGGGATTGCCTTGCCCCAAGAGCAGTTTGCTTTTAGTATATTATCGACAACGTAGCCAATTGAGTGATATTGCGTCGGTCCTACAATTGACCTCTTTCCCAATTGAAATTTATCAAAGGCTTCCTCTGACGAACTCGTTTGATGCAGCACTCTACATCCCCTGTAGGGAATGGATATTCACTATCACTTCAGTTGATAATTGTTAATTACTTCAAAGGTGTCAGGCGAATAAGAATTGAAGATTTAAAGAAAACTCCTACCCTTGCTGCATGCCGGAGACATCATTTGTAACACGCAATTCTTTAATTCATACTTAGACTTCAAGTCCTGTAAAGATGCGTACAATTCATACAAGTAGGTTTGAAACTTGTTTTATATCAATGACGAGGGAAAAACTCAATATCTGATTTAATCTTTAACTATAGCTTGGGATGCAGTTGGTGATAAAGTTAAATTCTTACTTTAGACACTAAAAGGGCGAATTAAGTATTTAAAAAAAGGGTTATCTGTTGAGTTAACATCAGAAGTCATCTTCTCCTATCAGTTTCCAAACTAATTTCATTCAACGAAATATTCAGGGTTTAATCTTGTCATTTTTAATTCGTGAAACTTAACATCAATTAAAGAATTATTGGATTAATAGATTTTGGAGTAATAAAAATTAATGTAATTGTTAAAACTGATCCGGTTCCCCGAACAGGTCGAACGCCAGCGAGTTGGTAACCTTACACTTTGGCTCGAATACAACTTCCGTTCTCTGTCAAATGGGAGATTTTGGATGTGGAGATGGTGGATGGACACCAGTTATGAAGATTGATGGCAACAAGGTAGGTTGTTACCTTGTGTTGTGAAAATTTTTCTTCAAAGGGTCTGCAGACAAATACATCACTCACTAATTTGAGGTATAGAATTGAAGCATCTCTAACCACAAATGCCTCACTTCATTTATTTCGAACAAACCCTTGTACTTTTTCTCATACCCCTAACTTTTAAAGCCTGACTCGGGCTTCGTGCCACAGCAAAATATTTTGGTTTTCGCGACGAAGAATCATAGCGGAGTATGTAATATTGCGCAGATGCGTTGCAGGTCAGGTCAAATATTCTTCTACCTTTCTTTTCCCCCTAAAAATAAAAAAAAGAGGCGGTTTAAACGGGAAACTTTGCCAGGCGCAATCGATTCTGAATCACAATGCACAATGTTCTTGCTCACTGCTTTTGATGCTTATCTTTGTATGCGATTGATTATTTACTCTTATACAATTATTTCGCAGAACACTTTTCGGTTCAGTTCGGGATACTGGACTAACAAAAGCGAATACAACCCGTCTGGTGCAACGACTGGCTTTGATTCACAAGAGACCAAATTACAGACGTACTGGAACACACCCTTTTCCAAGGTCTGTCTCGGTATGAAGGTTAACGGACAGTTGAGGTTCACTGTAATCAACAGCCAGGCTTCCTCTCTCCACTTTCTGATTGCTGATGGTCAGTATCGGCCTACTTCACTGGGTCGGAACAAGTGGATAGCGCTGACTGATTCAAGGGCTAGACTTCAGCCCAACTGCAACCAGGAAGGATTCAATACCAAGGCCAATCGCAAAGCAAGAGTCGGAATCCTTGGGAACAACGAAAACGACTGCCGTACATGTGATTCTGCAATAGGGTTTGGTGTTGACAACAGAGCGTGCGGTGATCGTTCTTCCATTAGAGCCATGTGCTACATCTTGGTTCAGTGATGATCTGCATTTAAATGAATTTTAAAACAGCACCAAAATAGATAAGATGAAGTCATCCAAGAACAGTGTGTAAAAACGCAGGATTATAAAATTTGTTGTGTATATGAACGCTCTGAGAACACTGCGATTAAACACCTATCATCCGAGTCTCGCAAACCAGAATGTATGATGCCCGCGAAAGCTTTGTACAGCTTTTCTGATGCCATGTGTGTTTGTAAGTGAAAAAAGCAAATAAACAAAGCAAAATCGAAACGAAAGAAAGCAAAAAGAGAGATATTTTTCCAGCTGTTTTGATATAATCTACGAGGAAAGTTTACCATTCACTGTTGACTTTATTCACTGGACCCAGTTTTTGGCTCGCGTCCAAACATATCGATAACGTAGGCTATCGGAAATAGCTGTAGCTGGCGAAAAGTTTTATATATAGAAAGGAATAAACTCTTTAAACCCTGAGAGTGACCAGCATCTAATTTCTCCTTACAGTCATACAGCTGAATCATTCATTAAGATCATAAGAATAAAGCAAATGATCGCCAACCGAAGAAGCTTCGATTGTTAAACAAATTCTCCTTGTCAGTACTAAAGGAAATGTATAGAGAAGAGTATAGAGACTATGGATACCGATGTTACGGTGCAAAGGATTAAATCCGTATTCAGTGGATGACGATTTATCCCGACCGGTACCCTAAAAGTAAAGGCTGCAGAACCAGAATGCATTAAAGCTGCGTAATTCTAAGGTTTACGCGCCTTATAATTTTAGGCGACATCTTGAATAATATTTGGCCAGTTACTGTCCCATCTGTCTTCTACTCTTCATTAATTATTTTGTTGATAAATGTATTCTTTGTTATTTACACTTCGAAAGCTGAAACAACATTTTCAAGCAAGAAAACATTTGTTTCATCTTCCTCTGCGTGAAATACTAATCGCTTTCTAAAAATCGTGTGATATGGGCGTGTTTTTCGAGTTGATATATTTGCATTTAGATACATTGTAAAATTATCAAATCGCAGAGATGCCAACCTTTGAAGATCTCGCAACCCCCCCCCCC